ATTCAATTTAATACTTCCAAAAATAAACATCTCAGATGTGTCCTGACTACAGTATAAGCAACAATCAAACCTCCAGCAGATTTCTATGTTTGCATAGCTTTCCAGAATGATATCTATTCACAAGAAAAAAAAATTCTATGCGTATTTTTGTTCAGAGAATATTCAATAATCATTACCATGTTTGGGAAGTTTATGTAGCTTTTGGTTTTTCTGCTTATCAGTGTGGAAGCAAAGAGAACATAAAATTTTTCAGTCACAAAACAAACTTTTATTTAACATGTCTCAAAAAATAAGACATCACCCAGTCTCATAGCCTACCTCACACACACACTTAAACAATTAATGTCCTTCAGCATTTTAATAGGAATTTGATTTAAGTATTATGAACTATTAAAAAAATAACAAGAAATGAAGCAAAGGACAGCTTAAGTAAAACTAAAACTAGATCTTTCATTGTATGTAAACCACCACTTAAGCTTAGCACAAGTCAGAAGATTCCTATCCGACACACACAACTGCTGACCATCACCTCCTAATGCTGAGGTTAAGGATAGAGTGGAGTCCTGTCTCCACTGCCCCAATGGGCATCAATAGCTTGTAAACAGGACACCTTTACCTCACACACACACACACACACACACACACACACACACACACACACACACACACACACACACACACACACACACACACACACACACACACACACACACACACACACACGGCCAGAGTCTAATATTGGAGGAGCCCAAATATGCTAGTGCCTTGAGAAATTGAAAGGAGACATCCAAGAATTCTTCTGACCCTGCAGAGAATGTCCTCCGACTGTACCCAGTCTGAACTGTGCAGCACAACTCCCACTTTAGCTTAATCAGTGGACACCTAATTTCTTGATCCTGAGTGGGTCCCTTTGGTAAGTGCATTCTGAGAATACCTAACATATACTGTAAGGATGAGGCCTCACAAAATGCAGTCTGTGGATATGTTTATTTTTACAACTCAGTCACCAAAGGAAAAATGCACGATGTACAGTTATATCATATTCTCCTATTATAGTGTAGAATAGCCTTGTAATTAAAGCAATTAACTCAGGAGGATGGAGACCTGGGTTCTAGGCCTTACCCAATGCAAGAAGGTTCAAACCAACATCTCCTACCACCCAGGTGGGCTGAGAAGGGCCTGGAACCCTGCTAGAAAAAACTTCCCTGCCCAATGGATTTGGATGCATGGTAAGTACCACAAGCAGCTCCTATTCTCTAGGCCAATTTTTTAAAATAAAAGTTGACACTACTGCATTTTGTGAAGGACCTATGATTTCTGTGTTGGTTAGGTGTACTCTGAGCATGTAGAGAACCAGTTTGAAGACCCCACCATAACCACCTCTTGTTCCTCAGACTAGAGTTTTAAAAGAAAACAATGATCTTGCCACATTTAACTACACCAGCCCCAGTTAAGTGCAAATGAGGCCTAAGAATTGAGATTTGTTTTTATATTTATTGCCACATCACCCCAAGTGACTTCTGCTTTTATGCAAAATTTGGTTTATTGTTATCTCATCTACCAATTCCTATCCATCTGTCATATCCCTGTTGCATCCTGTATGAAACAAGCTGTGGGCTCTCTAGGGCCACAAACATCCGTTACTTGTTTGTGTAGTGTCTACACAAAATGGACCCCTGACTTGGCTTCCTAAGCTGCTGACATAATAGAAACACACACAAATAAAATGTAGAAGGTGCTGTCCAATACAAGATGACAGCATCTGCCCACAAAGCACAGTTCAAACAGGTTAAGGAATGGAGGGGAGGCTGTGGGGGAGCAGGAGGGGCAGATTCCTCCACCCCCTCTAGAATTCAAATACAACCTCTCGATGCCACACCCAAGGAGACATGACTACAGGTGTGGAATGAGAGGCTGAAAGAGATACTTGACAGTGAAAAAAAAAAATGGACATTCCAGTGGGTGACAAACTGTGGCAAAGGTAGCAATGTCTCAACCACCTACACACCAGAGAGGGACGCACCAAGAAACTAATGGAGTGGGGCTATACCATTGGTTCAACCACCTGTGACTGCAGCACAGCCTCCAACTACGCAACACCTGCTGCAATGCCCACTGATTGAAGGCACATGTACAATGAAATATCTCACAAAGCACAATAAATGAGAACAAGCATAATGGTCACCCTCCAGGCTGCACTGGTAGCACACGCTTCCCCCCCTCCATAGGAGCTGCAAGTGGATCATGTTACATAGAAGTATGAGAGGTGGCCAACAGGGCCCACCAGCTGCCAGTTGGACAACTCTCTTATAAATGATAAAAAGAATCTACTAAATCAAACATTTTAAAGTCTCCTCGAGCAATACAAAAGTTTATAAAGGCCAATAACAAAACTGTCCCTTTGAAATGTATTTTAATGATCATTTACAGTAGAATAAGGGCACTGCTCTGAGTTACAACTTTACTCTGTTCCAGTATTACTGTTTGATGTTTAAAAAATTGAAATTAAGATCATCCCCCACTGTAAAATCTAGTGCTTTAGAAGTCAGATGAGGTTTTCCAAATAAGCTGAACAATTTATTTCTATACAGTGGCTTGTAAACTAAGCAACAAGCTTAATTTCGCTGTATACTTAAAGAAAAACACGATCCAGACAACAAAGCATTTGATGCTTGTCAGATATAAAAGTACTTAAATCATAAAAATCCCTTTATATTTACTGTTCTTTTGTAGCTATTATTTACTGTTTTTCCAATAAGCAGGTAACTTCAAAATAATTTTTACTGCACATGACATCAGTCCCTCTGTTTATGGAAAATAAGCTCAGATCCACAAAGTTTTGTTCTAATTAGTGTTTTTGTGGCCACTAATTAGCACAAAGTATAAAACTTCCTACAGAAATCAAAAGGAGGTAGGCATAAACAGAAAGAGAGGTCCCAACACTGTAACAAGCAGCAAAACCATTTCGTTTCCAAATGATCTTCCCACAAAAACAAAATATTTTCTTGTTACTAATATAATGTTGTTCATATATTTATGTGCAACAGGTCGCCCTTCCCAGCACCATCTTTCTAGTACTCCGTGCCTTGCGTGGGGCGCCCTTGGATCCTTCTTTAGGGTTCTTATGTCCAGCCCTATACTCGTCTGCCACGTCTTGATGGAAATTATGATGATGTTCTTGCGAGCGGGAGGCTGCCTATTGTACTGCCCCGGTGCCAGGGGGCGGTATCTGCGGCTCTGCTTCCTCCCCTATACCACAGTCCACACCTCACCGATAGAATAGATGTTGTCTGGTCTGGGTCTACACCCTCTCTGGCGTTTGGGCTCTCTGCGGCCCTGTCTCTCTCCGCGCCTTCTCTCTGGCACTTCTCACAGCACTGCTGCCCTCCTCTGGGGCCTCCTCAGTAACGCCGCCCCCTTCTCCTGGCTCACCATGCCTGAACTGGGGCTTCTCAGCAACACCCCCTTCTCTGGGGCTCACCACAATGCTGCCCCCTTCTCTGGGGCTTCTCAGCAATGCCCCCTCTCTGGGGCTGGGGTCTATGCACCCCGAATGCTGCACCCTCACTGGCGCTGGGGTCCCCACACCACTGTGAGTCCCCTATGAGGCCTCCTCCAACCCCTAATAGCCTCACCCAAACCACCAGTCATAAACAACAACATAAATGCAAGCCCCTTGGCTATAACATAAACAGAAGCCACCCGGCCATAACAACATTCAAGCCTACAGGGGATTCTTCATCTCGCAGCCGTGTCAAATGCTGCTCCTGCACCCGGCTTCTGTTCTCTCCCTTGGCAGAGGGCTCCTTCCTCCTGGGCTGCTGGCAGAGAACTGCCTCTGGCCTCAGCCCCCAGGGTTTATAAGGGAGCCAGGCCCTGCCCCTTTCAATCAGCTGACTGCCGGCAGGGGCGGTCTCTTGCTGGCTCCAGTTGCCCTGGCAACCCACAGCTGGGCTCCTTACTCACTGCTAGGGCTCTTTCCCCAGCAGTCTCCCCTCTTTAGGAGCAGAGCACCTCCATGCTCTGCGACAGTAAGCAATTTAGATCTGAAGTTTAATTTCAATAATAAAACACTTAGCTACAGAAACCTAGTAGTTTAATTGGTTTGCTAGTATTTTGGCCTGACACTGCTTTGCCTACTTTTACCTTTTTAGAGAGTCTTGAAACCAATCGCACAATTTTTACATTTAAAAATGACACAAAAATTCTACAAAACTTGTTGTTCTTATTTGAGTGGAACAGTGAGTCAATAGCAAAATGCAACTGCATTATGATGCAAAGGTTATCAAAACACATTCTCCTTGAAAAACTGGGCAATACATTTGGTTCAACTGAATATGTCAACTGTAAAACTAAAAGCAATGGTATATACCAGGGGTCAGCAAACCAGGGGTCCATGGGCTGGATCTGGCTCACAAAGTGATTGGATCTGGCCCATGAGGAGGGATCTGCCCCAAGGCAGCACAGGGAATCCGCAGCATGTTCCCCTTCCCCACCCCGCACTGTGCCACTGATCCCCTTCTGCTCTCTCACCTTTATGGCAGGCGCTGCTTACTCTCAAAGGATATTAGGCATATGCTTAAATTTAATCTTTTCAAAGCCACATCTATTTGAAATTTGCCTTTTTAAAAGTTAATATCTACTTCCACACATTTAAAAGGCAACCTGCAGACTGGGTTTATATATTCTCTTATAGTCAGTTTGAGAATCATTCAAGCTCTTCCGTGCATACTAATTAATTTGGCCACTTTTAAAATTGCTGTAAATGACCAGGAGAGCTAAAACTACTTTAAATACCAGAACTAAGTATGAATAGTATGCATTTCTTTACAGAAATACATGTTATTAAAGTTCTGTCTAGTTATTCCGTTTTACCACAGAACATGCAAGCTATTCCCCATTTGCTTCATTTTATCAACAATTTAATATTCCTTCAATTAATTGCCTAGCTCTTTCCCAAGAGTGACTTTCTTTATTTGGAAATGTAATAATTCACAAACCTCCATCCATCCTTTGCGAGGTAGCTGAAGATTCCATCAACAACACTTGCAAAGAACTGTCCTCCTGTGATGAAGAGAGTATTAATGGTAACTAATCTGCCTCGTAGGTGGGGTGGAGCAACCTCTGCGATGTATACTGGTACTGTCATAGAAGCCACACCTACCAAAAAAAAAAAGTGAGCAGTTAATGACCAAATAGAGAGCCTAACAGTAAGTGAAGTCTCATGTTAAATATTACACTTTGAATGCAACCAAACAGTATGCAACACAGATGCACATAGACACTGGGTGCTAGTTACAGCATTTGGAAATATTTACAGATGCAAATATGTAAAAGGCATTTAAAATTTGACACAATGGAAACCTTAAGTCAATAAAAACAAATCTCATGAGCTAAAGAAAAAACGTAAAACATGCAAAGATATGTTCCATCTTAGTCCAAGAAATGTACCAGGTGAAACAGGGTGAGAGAAACTTTTTTGTAATCTGAACTGGATACATAAAGGTGCCAGGCAAAGTCCTGAAAGCTCTGATTAACACAGAGAGCCTGACTTAGAGGTACTACAGATCCACAGCTCTCACTGACTTCAAGTGCAATTTCAGGTGGTCTTCATCTTTCAGTGGGGGAGAGAGTTGGGGGCGAGGAAAGAGGCTCCTAGACACATTATTAATAGAAAACTTCATTTTTGATCTACAGAGATTTAGATTTACTGTATGACTGCTCTGAAGCAGCATAACTAAGACAGGGTGACTGCCATACCCTCACAATCATGGTGACAGCACAGCAGCAGCTGGAAGTTGCCGCTGTCCCCATGTATCAGAGCTGCCCGAGCACCCAGCTGACTTGTTATGCCTCTGCTGCTCTGAGCCATTAGCTCCCGATTTGTAAAGAGATTGATTTAGCCCCTGCAATGAAAAGCTTTCTAGAACACTAGATTTGGGTATCTGGGTAATATCTGGGTGTCTCTGGCTAATTCATAGCCAGAGTCCATTGACCAGGAGAGGTTTCAAAATGAACATTTTGAGTGAAAGTTTCCAAGTGCTTCACACTTTCTTTCCCCCCACAAGAGGCACACAACTTTGCAGTAAACAAGAACTTCATGATGAAGAGGAGATATGTGTTGTACCCAACCAGAAAATATGAATATAGTTTCTGCAGTTTCAAAAGACTACTAATGTTCTGTTCTGTTAATTAAAATGAAGAATTATTTTGGGGCAAGGGAATGAAAAGAAACATTTCTGTATTAAAACTTGTTGAAATGGAATACTTAGCAGGACAAACTGCAAAATCCCCAGGTAAATGGGTAGTTATGCCTTGGATGAGGTCAGAGCGAAGCAATTTCTTCCATTAACATTAAGCTGGCACCTCATGAGCAAAATCTAATGGAAAACTCCTACAGATAGTGCAAATAATTAACCTGTCCTTTTACTTCTTTATTCCTTTCGCCAATGGTGAAGATGCAACCAGCTTCCAGAGGTGACCAATGAAAATGATAAAGGGGGCATAAAGCAAACTGCATGAGCAAAAGCTGAAGGAACTAGTTATAATTAGTTTGAAAAAAAAGGAAACTAGGTAAGAAGGGGAAGAAAGACACATGATAGCAGTTTTCAAATATTTGCAAAGTTGTCACAAAGAAGACACGTAAAAACTGTTCTCCTTTGCCATGGAGGCTGGACAACAAGGCCCCCACTCTGCCCCCACATATACACCCCAACATATTCCCCCCCCCCCAGTTTACACTACAGCAAAGCATATTTAGTTTACCTCTTTGGAGACATTTCTTAACTGTAAGAACAGTGTGGGGCAGTCTGAAAGGGAAAGGAGTCTAGAAGAATTGGCTGTACTTTAAAGAAACTTTACTGAGGGCACAAGAACAAACCATCCCAACATGCAGGAAAACTAGCAAGTATGGCAGAAGACCAGCTTGGCTTAGTAGAGAACTCTTCAATGAGCTAAAAACAAAAGAAGGAAGCCTACAGGAAGTGGAAACTTGGAAAAATGACTAGGGAGGATAAAATATTGCTCGGACATGCAGGGACAAAGTCAGGAAGGCCAAAGCACAACTGGAGTTGCAGCTAGCAAGGGACATGAAAGGTAAAAAGAAGGGTTTCTACAAGGAAGTCAGCAACAAGAGGAAGATCAGGGAAAGTGTGGGTCCCTTACTGACGGAGGAGACAACATAGTGGAAGATGAGGAAGTACAGGTTGGATGAATGGATTGTAAGATGGATAGAAAACTGGCTGGATCACTGGGTTCAAAAGGTAATAATCAACGACTCGATGCCTAGTTGGCAGCCAGTATCAAGCGGAGTGCCCCAGAGGTTATTCCTGGGGCTAGTTTTGTTCAATATCCTCATCAACAATCTGGAAGATGGGATGGAGTGCGCCCTCAGCAATATCACCAAGCTTGGGACAGTAAGATACACTGGAGGGTAGGACTAGAATTCAGGGACCTAGACAAATTGGAGGATTGGACCAAAAGAAATCCCATGGGGCACATCCACACATGCAGGCCCATGCACTTGCAGCAGCTCAAATAGGTCTGGCACAAAGTTGAGCCAAGGATTTTTGCCTTAGTGCATGTGCCTGGACATACGCTTTGATGTGGGGCAAGGTGTGCCACTTGGGGCAAAATGACCTTGCCCAGTTCCTTCCAGATCTGCAGCCAGGGGGAGCTACAGCCTGGGGCCAGCACCTGTGTTGGCCCCTACAGTATAAAAACCTGCCCTGGTGAGCAGCTCAGGGCTTCTTGCACTCACGAGCTTCAGAGGCATGGCCACTTGGTATCTGGGGACACAACCCCTTGTGCCAGCTGGACTGCTGAAGCAGTCGCTAACCTAGAGTGGCCCCTGCACCCCCTATCCACAGCAGCAGTCTGCCAGTGGGGGCTGCCTGCCTGCCTGTGACCTGCTGCCACCTCCAACAGCATCTGCTCCCTTGGCCCTGCAGCCCCAAGGCAGCACCCCTGCCAGACCCAGATGAGGTGCCCCCACACTCACAGTTAGGGCGGCTAGGATCTGGAATCAACTTACAAGGGAAGTGGTGCTGGCTCCTACCCTGGGGGTCTTTAAGAAGAGGCTTGATGCCTACCTGGCTGGGGTCATCTGAGCCCAGTTTTCCTCCTTCCCAGGCAGGGGGTCGGACTTGAAGATCTACAAGGTCCCTTCCAACCCTACTTCTATGATTCTATGATGTGATCCTTATCGTGACCCACTTTGAACTGTCAAAGCATGTCCTCTTAGCTCCAAATGGCCAAGAGGTCAACCACCTCGACTGCCCTCCAGCTGGGTCTCCTGGCCCTAGACTAGCTCCTCTGCATGGGTCTTACCACTTGTCTCACCAACAGAGATCCTGTTGTTCCCTGTTTAGAAATTTCAAATACAGGCAGTCCTCGACTTACAATGTTTCACACTTACAACGTTTATAAATTGACACCCTGTTTCAAATTTCTGACATCAGTTGCGACTTTACAATGCTTGATCCGATGTGATGCCACACCAGCGAACAAGATCTACCTGGAGAACGTCTGTCCAAACTTCCTTGGACACTTTCTTTAAGAAAGCAGACAAGACTCCAGAAAAACCTGCAACCAAGACTCCTGAGAAGACTCCAGCCAAGAACCCTTCAAAAAGTCCAACCAAGAGCCCTTCAAAACATCCAGCAAAGTCACCTCAAAGAAGTCCTTCCAAATCAATATGATTGCTACTTACAATATAAATACATTAATGTAGCTATATTACTCATCTATAATTGATTGAGTACAAAATTCTGGGGTATTTTTGGTGAAAATAGGGTATCAGGCCTTGGGTCAGGAGCCAGTCCCCCATTTATAACATTGTTTCTTATGAGAAACTTGGTTCCGAGTTGCAACGTTTCGACTTAAGACATGGTTTTCAGGAACCAATGGTGTCATAAGTTTGAAGCCTGCCTGTACTCTGATAGTGATAAGAAACCCAAATTCTCCCATTAAAATGCCCAAAATAGTGTTCTTCCACTATTAAAATGAAATACCATTATATATAGAGAAAGCAGTAGGGGAATGTTTTATTGATATATTTACAAGTGTAAAGCAGTTGGGGGGAGGGGGTTGGGGGAGTTTGTGGGGGTGAGGTTTGGGAGAGGGTATGGGGCTTCTGCAGGGGCTTAGGGTTTGTGGCTGGGCATGTGGGTGTTGTGGGTGGATTGTGGGGGGACTGTGGGTGTGGGGGGGCTGCGTGGGGAAGCTGCTCAGGAGGGGTGGGTCCCCTGCTCCCCCACAGGGTGCAGCCCCCCTGTACAGCACATGGACCACCCCCCCCCGACAAGGCCAACAGCTTCTCCCTACAGGTCCACAGCTTCCCCCCTGCATGGCGCACATGCCCTCCCACAAGGCCCTCATGGCACACAGCTCACCCTCACAGCAGCAGCAGCTTAGGGGCGCTCAGGGTCCGCTACAGCCAGAGCCCCCAGCAGTGCAGCATGGCCCTGATCACCTCAGAGCCGGCGCCGCCTGTGCCACCCGTCACGGGGCTGGTCCAGCAAGGGGCTGTGTGGCTTCAGGCAGCACTGGGGCCGCTCGGGCTGTCACCCAGGGCCTGGCCTCGCTCACGGGGACCACATGTCGCACTGGGCCAGGTCCTACCTCCACGGGCCCCGCGCACTGTCGAGGCTGGGTCGGTTCCATGGAGGCAGGACCTGGTCCAGCACGACACACAGTCCCTGCGAGCAAGCTAAGCCCTGGGTGACAGTCTGAGTGGCCCCAGTGCTGCCTGAAGCCACGTGGCCCTGTGACAGGCGGTGCTGGCTCTGAGGCGATCCCAATCCACTATTTACTGAGGACAGGACCTGGGTCACAGCCTTGCGCCACTCCTACTTGCCCTGGCACACAACACAGCATGCTAGGGCAGCAGGGGGCACCACAGAGGCGCTCTGGCCAGATGCCAGAGCATCTCTGGAGGTCTGAGCCCCAACTTGCCTCAGAACACTGTGGGGAACCATGCCCTGTGCTACTTTTTTCCAGGGTGTTTTTATTTGACACCTTCATCAATGGTAGCTCGTTGAGAAAGGTGGCTGCCAAAATACGGAAAGTGCTCCACATACTCCAGAGCCTCCCCATCTACTCACACATAGATAGCGCGAGGGATGTTCAGCTGGCTGGGAGGGAGAAGGGGGGTTGTTGGT